GAAAGCACCTTCCTGATAATTATGATCGAAGCGGTGATCAACGTTGTAAGTTTTCACTGCCATTGCAGTCTTTCCCTTAGAATTCCTGGAAGTAGTCGACGGCGGCGCCGAGACTCGCTTCTTAGAAGTACCTGGTGCTTGAGCTGGCAAACCCAGACGATTTGCAAGTTTCTCCACGTCGCAAGCATTGTAGTGTTTCATGAGATAGGGTCCTCCGTAAGGGTTAGGCTCTATACTGATAGGCTTAATCCCTTTCAGTTGCTCGTTTGTCAGCTGAGCGAAGATGTTTAGGTTGTTCCAGTGCACAAGCATGTGAGCACCCACCAGATATTTCTTTTTCGCCTTACTGTGAAGGATCTTGGGCCCATTGGGCCCCGCCAGCTCTACAGCTGAAGCGGGAGGAGCAGCTCCGGAAGGGCTAGCTTGTAGACTCTGCGCGAGGGCTTCGACGTCGCACAGGTTGTACTTGACCATGGCGCTACTTCCGCCGTGAGGGTTTTTTCTTCGATATCGGAGAGATGGTGTCCAGATTCGTAGCTGTGAGCTTCAACGAAGTCAGAGCCAGTCGGACTGGATCTACAGGAGGTCTACCAACCTTGAATGTCTTCATTGCCCTCGACTTCAGAATCCATGGACTTCCGGCTACGGGTTCTGCGAATATCTTTCGAGTCTTCGAGCGGGTCGGTGCCATAACTGCGAAGAAGTACAAGCCAAGGGGCTAGGAGGGCTGGAGAAGGAGCCACAAGACTAAGTAATTGTTGGCAAAACCATTCGAAAACCAAAGGGGAACGCAAAAATAATCAAAAATTGAGAGATAGAGGAAGTGGATCGATGTTGAACGTGAACGTTGAACGTTTAGGGATCATGATTATCGACGTGCAGAACGCGGAAGACATTCCAAACGAAGATAACACGTCCAGAGATGGCAGAGGGCAGACAATGATGCGCCTTCTTAAAGTTCTTAAAGTCCTGATGCGGTGATGCGCTCCGTGCCACAAGGCCAGAGTTGCTATCAGATAACCCCCAAAAGGATTATCTCAAATAAATAAAAACCTGAAAACCTCATCGCGCGCATCGTCCGGCGCATTCTCACGAGCTCGATGACCATGGCGGTCATCGACGTATACACGCTACTGAGTCTCCCCTCTTCCAATGCGTTCTCCGCGTTCCACTCGTCCGACTTTGTTGTGGAGCAAGACTCACGGTCGGATTCACCTACCCGCAAGGTCCCGCGTCTTGCAGACGACTCTGACTCTGCGTCTGCATCTAGGGCCCGCGCTGCCGCTGTCGCGGATAATGAGCATGCGGGCGAGAAGTCGGCTACTATAGTGCTGAAGTTTCATGGTGCTCCTAGTAAGCTGGGTCGATTCGTGCAATGCCGCCTGTAGCTAAAGTCGTATAGTCAATGTGCAACCCGAGAGTGTATACGATAAGGACCTCGCACTCGTTCGGCGGTCCGTACGTGTATTACTCGCGAAAGGTACAACAGAGTCTCTTCCAGCGACCTACGAGAAGATATATGCAGCATGTCAAGCCGTCGTACAGAACGCGCGGAACGGAGAAGGGATCTACGAGAGCATCAAGCTTGAGATGGAGCGTTGCTTCGGGCTACTTCTAAGAGATCTGTTGGAAACCTCTCATACAGGTATTGCCTGGCTTCAGCCATTCATTGAGACGTGCAGCTGGTTCGACAAGCAAGTGGTCAGTCTCATCTTGCCCTCAGCCTTCGCACGGCTTAACCTCTATCTAGACTCTCATGAAGTCGCTGCTTGCATATCTGGACCGAGTTTACCTGGTCAGTCAGAAGAAACAAGACATTGGGTGCGTGTGTGCAGATCGGTGACACAGATCAAAGTATGACTAATAACATCCTCTACAGGTCCTTGGCCTACAGCGGTTTCTACACTCGCATCTTTCAGCACGAGTCTGTCGTTCAGCATATACGCGAAGGCTTGACAGAATGGGCCATGTGGGAACGTGAGCAGCGCACAACGCACGAGGCTCGCCCATTGATATCCGCGCTCGTAATGCAACTGCAGCGCCACGGCTTGTATCAAGACATTCTCGAGAGCTTCTACATCAAGAAGGCGCACGAATACTACGTGGAGGAGGCCAAACAACTTCGGGAAACTCTCCGACCCGGCGATTTCTGCAAGCATGCCGAAGATCGCCATGACCAAGAGATAGAGCGTGCCAAAGCTGTTTTGCTGGAGTCGAGCATCCAGAAGATCTCTCTCGAGACAGACACTGCCCTCCTTACTGCTCATCTGGACTGGATTGCAAACGGCTGTAGGTGACTGCTTGCCAGTGGCTGTTTCTACCCGTGCTGATTGTCGCGCAGCTATGGAGCCACTCATGGAAGGCGAAGGCCCTTCGTTGGATCGTCTGCACAGAATGTACCTCCTATTCTCTGCAGTAGGCGGTTTGAAGATTTTACTGGCTGCATTCAAGCTCTACGTCACGGTAGATCGCTTCCCGTTGCTACTGGATCTTTGCTCATTGCTATCCCTAGAATTTCGTCAAGAAGATCGTCACAGATGCCAAGATGGACGATCAGATGGTGGACCGGCTTCTCGTTCTCAAACGCAACTGCGACACGGTCGTTAACGAGGCTTTCTACAACGAGGCCCCGATCCCGAGAGTGACTCCCTCGAAGCCATCGACATCCATGGACGTCGACGATAGCCCGGCCATCGAGAAGCGCGCCAACCGCGAGTTTGGATATGCCGTCACGGACGCCTTCGCAGAGGGCTTCAAGGCACGCCGCAACAAGCCGGCAGAGATGATCGCCAAGTTTCTCGATCGTGCAATGCGCCGGGGACAGAAGGGGCGCGACGATCGGGACTACGCTGCCGAGCTCGCTGCAGCACTTGCGCTGTACCGCTACACGGACGACAAAGATGTTTTCCGGACCTTCTACCACCGTGCTCTTGCCAGGCGGCTCCTGCTTGAGAAGTCAGCATCAGACGACCATGAGAAGGCGATGCTGCGCAAGCTCAAAGAGGGTATGTACGGTAGCTTTGCGCTGCAAGAAAAACACTAACATGCTGGTGCAGAATATGATCCCGAGTTCGGGATGGGTGACCACATGTTCACCGACTTGGCGCTCTCGCGTGACCTCACCGCCGAGTACAGACAGAAGAAGAAGGGCGATGTGGATCTGTCGCTCATGGTTCTCCAACGCAGCGTCTGGCCATTTACTGCACGCAAGCAAGATATAGTCCTGCCTGTCTGGGTATGCTGTCCATCTGCGTACGGTAGCGCCGCGTTCTGACGAACAATGCTCCAGATGTCGGATGAGCTGAGCAAGTTCACCGAGTTCTACAAAGAGAAGTACAAGGGCAGGAAGCTCGACTGGGACCACGCACTTGGGCACGCGACGTTGCGCGCCCGCTTCAAGGCGGGTGTGAAGGAGCTGACGGTCAGCCTGTACCAGGCTGTTATTTTACTGCTTTTCAATGAGATAGAGGAGCTGTCTTTCCGCGAGATCAAATCGCAAACAAGCATGGGTAAGCTGTGATATTTAGATATCTATCTTTTCCTGAGCTGACGGCCGCCGTTGCAGAGGATGGCGAGCTGCGCCGGACGCTGCAGAGTCTGGCCTGCGGCAAGAAGCGTGTGCTGAGGAAGCAGCCGCCCGGCAAAGACGTGCACGACGATGACGTATTCTTCTTCAGCGCCGACTTCACGGATCCTGCCTTCCGGGTGCACATCAACTCGATCCAGGTCAAGGAGACCCCCGAGGAGGCGAAGCGCGCGCAGACGATGATCGAGGCGGACCGCAAGTTCGCACTCGACGCGGCGATCGTGCGCATCATGAAGGGCAAGAAGAAGCAGCACTACGAGCAGCTCAAGACGGCGACGATCGAGGCGGTGTCGAAGCATTTCCATCCCGAGGTGACGATGATCAAGGCGCGCATCGATGGGCTCGTCGAGCAGGAGTACTTGCGCAGGGACGACGACGACATGAATGTGCTTCATTACGTTGCTTAAGAGGGCTGTAGTCCTACGATGTATCTCATTCAGAATAAAACCTGAGGGTAGGAATTCAACACTGCGTAGACTAATTGTGTCTCAGAGTGTAGCAAGAAAAATAAGTTTACGTTCGGTAGCTATGCATCCCTTCGGGCGTCGTCACTGTAAGCACTTGTGGAACGCGTTCTTGTCACCTTCCGAGGAACGCCTTGACTCGCCATAGTGTATCTAGGTTCTCGAGCTTGTCAAAGTAAGGTCAGGTTCCCAAGCGAATTGACACTGCAGTGTAGCTTACTAATCTGACGAAACCTTCCTCGCGCACAACTTCAGCAATGAGAGCTTCCAATTCTGGCTTCGGAATATCACAAAGCTCTGAAGACTTTGGCAGCGGCGGCAGGGGGCAAATCTGAGGCAAAGGATCCACGTCCATGCTTGAAATTTCGCCAGCTTTCTTTGGCTCATCGCTTCCTAAGCCCTGGCCGCTTGGCGCGGGAGCAGACAGCGGAGTAGTAAGAGCAGCAGGTGTCGGGGTCTCAACAACGGCAGCAGCCTGGATGTGTGCAGTCGTAGCGGCACTCGAAGCAGCGATAGGGGGGTGCGGACACTGCGCGATATGGAGTGAAGCCGTGGACGAGACCGTAGATGGTCCCGACTGCGATAGCGGAGCGAGATCCTCGGAAGACGTCGGAGGCCATAGCGTATCACAACCAGTGTACGAGGCGGAAGAAAGTGCCATACTAGTGCAAGCATCATTCGTTGGAGTAGAAGCGGGTCCAGAAGATTGGAATACAGGCTGGGTGTTGTGCGCTACTGGAGAGGAGATGGTCATCTTGCCGGGAGATACCGTTGGAGCCAGCACAGATGATGATGGTCGAACTTGCATAGTTACAGAGGGTCTTAGAGGCTGTTTAGTCGCCACAGATGCGGAAAGCGACGGCGGGGGCATGTTGATAGAGGCGGGCACGGAGGGTCGAACGATAGATGTTGTCTGCCCAAGCGTCATGGTGGCAGCTCGAGTAAGAGCGGCCTGTGGAGGATTTGCCTTGCACGGACAGACATGTCGTATGGCTTCGATAACACTTGTAGCGTCTGCCGTGCTCTGAAAGTTCATTTGGAAGCGTCGGTAGACCTTTCGATGCGCATATAGCTAGCTCGACCATGAGATAAAGCGAATACACTTACCGGAGACGCTCCGGCACTAAGGTTACGAATGTGCAAATAGCGTACACCCACTACTGCATTCCGATAGACGGCTTTCAGAGGGAGTCCATGGGGACCATTTTGAGCCGGAGGATCAGAGAACAACAACAGATCCAAGTCCTCCTGTGCGCGGGATGAACGCGTCGCTCAGGAAAAGATACGGAGCGACCCACAAAGATAACATCCTGCTGATCTACTTCCATCATATCTTTTCCTGCGTTCAATGACCAAAGGACGCGAACTCTGTACGACTCGAGTTCTCCCCGCGCAGATTTTCTCAAGTCAAGGACAAGCCGAATCACGGGGTTGGTGAAATGTTGCCATTCAGAGTCATTCTCTTGAGATCCAGTGCTCTGTGAGGGGTATGCTCGTGAGTATTTAGTGAGGGTATAGGTGGTGGTCGAGGTGGTCGACAGCGACATGACGGTCAGCGTGCAAGCTTTGAAGCGCTGGCCTTGTGGCGTTTCCGGTCTGCACATTCACCAGTCTGCGTGAGACACAAATGGGTATAGAAAAGTACTATACACGTCCCGATGGCTTTGATAGCTCAAGATCCTCGTCCTCCTGGGTAGCCCGGCATATTCTCTATGTGAATTACACTTCGCGCACAACGATCGAGGTCGCGTCCCTCAGTCCATTGTCCGGAGAGTATTCACGTGGCGCGCTGTAGAGCCGTCATACGGGTCCGGTCTTGACTCACATATAAATCCTTCAATGGCTTCATTGGACTTTTTTTTTTACCGGACTAATCGTCGGGTCCTAATACAGCCCCCTTTCGGACATGTGAGTGAACTACCAAAGTGTGTCCTAATTGGAGGCAGTTGGGACGCTCCATTAGCATAGCATCCCGGGAGTACCGGCGACTAAATTTTTCATGGGATAGCTGTACGAGGAAAGTGTGAGGCCTGCGAGCGAAAAGTCCACGATTGCATACCGGAGCCGCGAGGACAGGTGACGATCTGTCGAATACACTAGATTGCCGTGTGTGAATGCGTCAGGAGAGTCTGAAGGGGACATTAACTGATTATTTTTGTCCGAGCCATGAGATCTGAGGGGGAGAAATGTGATTGCTGTGGACGGGTTCCGGTAATGCTCTAGGTGGAGGTATCAGCACACCTTTCAGTGCTGCGGAGGGGGGAGGGAGAATGTATTGGTCGACACACACAGAGATTTTCCAGTTGGACTCGTACCATGGCCATCCGAGTGGGTTGCGAAATAAATGCGTCGGCCTCAGAAATGTGGAACCCAAACTCAAACAAGATGTTTCTCGGGTATTCAGAAGTGGCAGCTGCGCGTTCGACCTGAGTAGATATGGGCTTGCATCTCCTTGTCGCTGTTATGAGAGATCGCAAGTCTGGACGGACTTTCGCTGCTCTGTGACTCCAATCTATGATAAGGAGGGTAGGTGAGAACACGTTTCACTCACAGTGGTGGGTGCTCATACAGGTCTCGGCGCGCGTAATCTTCACAACACTGTCAGCTGTCGCCCTAGAAGAGTTAGCTTGTCGGACTGCAGTCACTCCACCGACGCTCATGTATCTGTCGATACTCGATAGAGCTGAAGTATTGAGCCAATAACAACAGGGTATGCCAGCTTAGCGGCAGCTGCGGATCAGCGGCTTAGAGTCTTTATGCACTGTGCTCCGCCACAAAAGAGGGTTTTCTCAGAAAGCGGTCGGAAAATGGAAGGGAGGACGTCCAGACTCAAACATTGAGCACAGCCAGGGCTTCACGTTCGCAGTCGCCCATTTCCTCGAGCGACTGATAGTGTATTGTTTCGATAACAAAGACGCGATACAACAGCCACGGCGCAGCTCGGATGAAGGTGGTGGTGGAGGTAAACGTGCTCGTAAGGTTTATCGAAGAAGGAGCGAAGCAAGTTCAACACGCGCGATGCGCCCTAAGCGCTTGTGATCGTACGCGGGGAACCGACGCGACTTGTCTCTCTCTCTCTCCACCATGGCGCATGTCCTCCGCGTCCCTAAGCTCGACCTCGTCGCCATCCTCGCGCAGCAGAACCCACAGATTGACCTGCGCATTGAAGCCTATGAGACCTCGACCCGCAACTTCCTCAAAGCCGTGTCACATTACGCGCAGAACGCGCAAGCAGAGATCACGCGCAGGAAAACCACCCATATAAATGAGAAGAAGAGGACTGCAGAGAAGATACAAAGCTATGAGAATGAAACACATGCGTGCAAGGTCAAGGAGCTGGAGCTCATTGCCGGTGAGGAACGGCGCATATTGCGAGGTCGGACCGATGCTGAATGCAAGCAGACTTGGAGAAGGAGCGGGAGGAGCGGAAAGAGGCAGAGCTAGCAGTTGCCGCTTTTGATCGTCAACTTGCCTCCATCAAGGAACAATGTGCCTTACTGGACGCTGAGATTGAACAACGACGCGTTGTTGTCAACAACCTCCGGCGCGGTGCGTTCACCCCATCCCTACTTGTATTCCCGCTAAACAGTGCACAGAACGGGAGCGTGAGCACGCATTGCTGAACACACACGCTTCAAGGACGTCTCCTGAGCTGACCGAGTGCCAGTTCCGCTTGCGCGGTGTCGTCGAGGGCGTAGACAAGGACAAGATTCTCGTCCGTTTCACTCATATCGACCCTACAGATCCTCAGCGCGAGTTCAGCGTCGTGATCGACGTTTCTGGTGACAACTATAAAGGTACGCTCGCGGTTTCTGCGTGAATGCGCCGAGCTGATTGTGTTGGCAGTCCCAACGACCAGTCCCTTCCTGCCAAATCTGCCAATATTACTCGATGAGCTCAATAGTACAAGGGACGTGTATGCATTCATCAAGAATGTCAGGCAGGCGTTTGACGAGCTGGTGCTGAGATAGCCCTATGGTGCTGAGATCCGATCATGTGCGTCGATGACTTGGCTAACGAGAGCGTCGGGACAGTACATGTATACTTCCTCTGTACCCGATACCCGTCCGCAGCATAATATCCATTGTATCTGGATTTGCCGATGAACCACTATACGGGGAGGTGATAGGAGCTGCCATCCGTCGTGGCGCTGTCTGGTGTGTAATGAGCTCATTCAGTTGTCGTTCAAGTCCTCGGATCTGATCCTCGCCCTAGCTTCGGTCCATAAGACTTGCTCGCATCCTCTAGACGGTATGGTTTTATAATATATATATATAGCATTGCTATCGTTAGCATGAGTGGACGACTTGACATTGTGAGATACATTTCTACGATGACGGCTTTCACACGTTTCGGCTGAGTTGCCGTCGGCGGCTGTACGTCCTGTGTAAGCCTAATGCTTTGTCCGACGATCCGGTGACAATTAAGGAGGTGCGCAGTTTGTCCATGCATGAATGTCGCGAGCTGACGATGTCCGTAGTCCCAACGGCCAGCCCCGCCGAGTTTGAGAATGTTACTTGACGAGCTCAGTAATATAAAAGATGTGTGTGCTTTCATCGAAAATTGTTGGGTGTGCGTTTAATCTGTTGATGTCGAGACAGTCTAATATCGTGAGTCGAGTCTGCATGTGCGCCTCAACTAATGGCAGCGTCAGGACGATATTGTATACGTCGTCTTCACTTGATACCCAGCTGCATCATAGGATTTATTACACCAGGGCCTTACACGGCGACAGCTATACGAGGATGTAACAAGAGCCGACACCTATGAGGATACTGTCTAGTGCGTGATTGATTTATCTGGCTGTCATTTCATGCCTCTTCATCTTCGCTGACTGCTTTGGTCCATAAGACCTGTCCCCCGTCCTACGCTTCTGACAGCATTCTTCGTGATGTATATAAAGCACTGATATTGCTAGAATGCGCAGATAGCATCACGCGATACGACTTCGCGAATATGATTTCCACATATTTCAAACGAGATGTTGTCAGCGACTGCGCCTCTCCCACGAGCTGACACAAGGTTTGGACCTCCACGAGGCAACCGTTTCTGCTTGACAGGAGGAGACGGGTAGCTCCGTATGGCAGTTCTACGCGAGCGGGCCACGCACTCCATAGCTTGCTCTCAGCCTCTTCAGCCTCTGTCTTTACCAACTCACCTACATCATATCCGAAGTCCCGCGTAACTCGCACGGTGAAGTGATCTTGTACCGTCTTCAGGTGCTTGGCACATTTTTTCGTACATCATGTATTTCTCCTACTGGTAGGACGTCTATGCTGACTATCACGACAGAACTCAAATTGACACAAACCCGTATTGCCACTACTTGCACCACATAGCTCCTTACGACATCTTTTGCAGTCAGGCCCAGGAACTCGTCTGTTTCAAGAATCTAGATATTCAGTGCGTAAAAATATGAGGAGTGGCAACTATTTACGAGCTAATCTTCTCTGTATTTGTAGTTGCTCCAGCACAACCATCGAAACATCTTGGTCATTATTTTCTAGACGTATGGCAGCTCAATGCGCTGACTAGTCGTGACAGGCCTCCGGCAACAAGTCACTATGTCGCGGGAGGGTCTCCAACATCTATCTTTTAGTAAGGGCGACGAGACTATCGGCATTGCTCGCGAGAATCTTTCCGGTGGACCCAACAATGACTCCAGAGCTTCTACGCGCGAAGCTATATCTGTCTTTCCTCCATCAGATCAGCACAGCACTCCATCATTGTTTCTCTACAGAAAAGCTACCCCCCTCTACCCTCCTGACCACACGCATCGCCCATCGCATCCATATATTGGCAACACTGGCGAATGCCAGAATCTGGTTTACTCTATCAAACGAGGCCTCAACTTCTCACTTTCTGACCTCACACGTTACAGCCGGGCTTCCCTCTTTTCTGCTTTAGCTGCGTCATTGCTCACTAGCTTCAAGCTGACGGGCCTCTCTCCGGAGTTGGATCAGTGCATCGAGTATGCTCAAGAAGCTGTCTCGTGCTGCCCATTAGAGTCACCCATCCGGCCTGCTGTCTCGGTATCAGCAACGAGACGAGCCTGCTGATTTAGAGGCGGCTATCGGGTACGCGCAAGAAGCTGTTTCCCTCTGTCATGTGGGGCATCCCGGTTGTCCTCGTGCTCTGGGGACCCTGGGTATTGTGCTCTTCGTTCGTTACAAACACGCCGGAAGGTTGGAAGACCTGGAGGAATCGATCTCGCTGCCTTGTAGAGCCCTCGAGCTCTGCTCCCCTGCAATGCCTTTTCGCCTGACCCTGCTGGACACCCTCTCTTTCGCCCTCATTACTCGCTCAACAGAAGAAGGGCGGCAGGAAGATCTGGACGCAGGCATTGAGCACACCAATGAGGCGCTTGCGCTATGCCCACCGGGTCATCACGGACGTCCACGCTTATTGATCAACCTTGCCGCCGCAAGACATACTCGATTTATGGCTGCTAGCAGACAAGAAGACATAGACGACAGTGTCACCTCTCTCCGTGAAGCTGTCGATCTGCTGTCCCCTGGGTTCACTGTTCGTGCAGTAGCTCTAAGCAGGCTAACAGATGTTCTATTCAGTCGCCTCATATCCTACGGAGCTCTTGAGGACCTGGAAGAAAGCATAGCCCGCGGGAAGGAAGCGCTGGCCGCTTGCGGCCCCTGGGTACCAGAACGAGCCACGGTACTCAACATCCTGTCCTACTCACTCCTTGACCGCTTCGATCGTTTCCAAGCGCGAGAGGACCTCAGGGGGAGCGTCGACTACTGTTACGAAGCGCTTGCACATTGTCCTCCAGGCCATCTTTACCGCACGTCCATCATGGACAGATTGGCAAACGCTCTCAAACGACGATATCGTATCGGTGGCAATCCGGAAGACCTGGATTATTCAATCATTTACTTTAAACAAGTACTCCAGATGGCAACCGACCCGGCTGAGTCTTCAACTCGTCTTGACTCGATGTTGACTCTGCCAACGGTCTTGATAGCTCGCTTTCACCGGACCGGCCAGTTGGACGATATCAGGGACAGCGTCCAGTATAGTTATGAGGCTCTATCGCTGTGCCCGAGAGGGCACCCACACCGCTCACGCGCTTTGTACATCCTATCGTCTTCTCTGTTCGCGCGATTCTCCTGGACAGAACGGATGGAAGATATGGCCAGCTGCATTCCATTATTTCAAGAGGAGTTATCCTTACATATTCTCCAGTCTCCAGGCCGTATTCTCTCATTATACAAATTAACAGTACTCCTCTCCTTGCGTAACTTGGATACCGAGGACCCTAAAGTCCTGAAAGAGTGCATGCGGCACACAGAGGAAGCGCTACAACTCCGTCCGCCCGACAGCTTCTCCCATTCATCCATCATATTCATCCTTGCCATGTGCTCCCAGCTTCGATACAACCAGACCAGAGAACTTGAAAATTTGAACACAGCCATCGACTACTCCCGGGAGGTTATATTCATTTCTCCGAACCGGCCATTCACCCAGCCTTGTCTAACGACCCACCTGAACACCGGCTTGCTTGAGCGATACAAAGTGCTCGGTAAATTGGAAGACCTCGACGAGTGTATTGACCGGGGGTATGGGATACTGTCGTCCTACCCTCTGGAATTGGGTTCCTCGGGATTTCAACGATTATTGTTTAATCTCGCGTCTGCTCTCTGTTGCAGGTATCGTATCACTGAACACAGAGAGGATATCCTCAACGCTATTTTCTACGCTAAGGAGGAGTATGTCGTCTTCGATTCGACCGAAAAGCTGTATTCACACCCGAAACAAGCACACTCTCAGAGTCGACTCACAGCCATCTAGATCGGCTCCGGGCCGCGATGTTTTGGGCACAGCTAGCCCATGCTGAACATCATTCTTCGACGCTCGACGCCTACCGCATGTGTCTTGAGCTGTTGGAGCGGAATCTAACCATTACCCCGACATTGGAGATGCAGCATGATGTGGTTCGACTGCAGGGGTCGGGGTCTTTGTCTTTGGATGCCGCAGCGTACACAATCAGCCAAGGAAATCTCGAACTCGCCGTGGAGTTACTGGAGCAGGGAAGAGCCTTGCTCTGGTCCCAAGTCCGCCGTCTACGGACGCCCCTCGACCAACTGGCCGCCGATGAGAGCTTGAAGCCTCTTCGGGATGCATTTCTGGAGACGAGTCGTGCATTAGATGCAATCAGCACTTCTATGAGCCCATTCCCGGAGCAGTTGATTGTGGAGGAAGCTAACGATCGGTTTGGGCCTATGTTGGAGGCGAAGCGACGCCTGTCAGCCGAACTGGACGAAGTCATCAAGCAAATTCGTACGACGCTCCCAGACTTTCTTGGGCTTCCTTCATACAACAAACTCAAGGTCGTTTCGGCAGAGGGCCCGGTTATCGTCGTCAATCACAGCAAGTATCGCTCAGATGCTCTTATTATTGGCCCTGGCGAGAATCTCGGCTGCGTTGAGCTTTCGGACGCATTCTATGAGCAGGCTATCAGTTGGTCAAACGACCTGTTGAAGGCGCGTCAAGCTCTGAGCGCCGCTCCGAAGAAGTATGATCGAGTCTTGCGGCGAACACTGGAAGAACTTGCGGAGCTTGTTGTAGGCCCTGTCTCGGAGAAGCTGAAAGAACTTGGGGTTGAAGAAGGGTCTCAGATTTGGTGGTGTCCGACCTCCGTGGTGTCCGCGCTACCACTGCATGCAGCAGGCCCGCTCATGGCTCCACACTCAAAACACAGCAAATACAAGGTGTACCTCCAAGACATGTACATATCTTCCTACACACCAACTTACTGCACTCATAGAAGCCAGGGCGGCTGGCCGCGGTAGGCCAATACAACGTGACAGCCTCCTTGGTGTCGCTCCGCTCGACAAGTCGCTGCAAGCGATGAATGACGAAGTCGCAGTCCTTCGTACATCCTTCGCAGAGGATGAGCTGACAATTTCCGTCGGGAGTCAATGCAATCGCGAGGCAGTAATTACTGGTCTCACAAAGAGCCCGTGGGTGCACTTCGCCTGCCACGGTACGCTGAAACCAGGCGAGCCTTTCAACTCGGCGCTACTACTCTCTGGTGGCGAACGACTCACTTTATTCGACATCATCAAGGCGGGCCTTCATAATGCCAAATTAGCAGTACTGTCTGCATGCCATACCGCCGAACAGACGCAAGACAGCGCGATGGACGAAGCGCTCCACCTGGCGGCCGCGATGCAGTTCGCTGGCTTCCGGAGTGTAGTGGGGACGATGTGGCAGATGAAAGATGTATTGTCGTGATACGACGACTGGGCTGCGCGAGCGCGAACTGGCGAGTGGCACGCGGGCACGATCTAATACACACGGTGTTAGTCTGAGTGCGAAGGGAAAGAGCACGCTGTATAGCTATGTACCTAATACACACGGTGTTAGCTAGACAGGGGTCCGGTGAGCATACTACATAATGCGCAAGGGCGACGAAGGGGACTTACTCTGAGTGCGAAGGAAAAGAGCACGCAGAGTGGGGATGCGAGAGGAGTCCTTATATACTAAAAGGAAGCAAAATTGAAAGTCCGCTAGAATGGGGAAGCCTGCCATAAAGAGGTCCGTGCGTGGGAGCACTACATATGATTGTCCAATCACTATCTACGTATTAGTAGCGCCTAATCTAAGATGTCCACCTTAAGTCCATGCCGGGCGGAATGCCGAGCCAGAGCCACTAGGCGCTTCAACAAGATGAAGACGGACCAACGTTTGCGAAACATTTCTACCACGTGCT